TTGGAAGGTTGTTTGTCCTATTTGTCTCTGTGTTGTCCTGCGATGGACTGGTGACCTGTCCAGGATTTACCCTGCCTCTTGACTGTAGATAGCTGGAGATAGACACCAGCACCCCTCGCGACCCCGCTTGGGATAAGCGGGACAGAAAATGGATGAATTTGCCATCTTTGGGCCATTTTATCATCTAAATGAATAAAAAGCAACATCGGCACAAATAATCGGCCCAAAATCCTGTCGAGGATCAGTTAGACTGGTGTCAAAATGATGGGTATCTACATCAGCTTTAAAAAAAACAAAAAGTAACACTCGATCTGTAGTTTGAACTTTAAACGACGCAAATAGAGGGAAAATATGTGGCAAAGAAGGAAGTGGTTTAAAGAGCCAGCAGAAAAGATAAGGATCTAAGATTTGGAAAAACCCTGAAGATGGTTCTGAAATCATAAAGTTGTGACGGGTTCGATTCATATCTGCTGCTGGTCTCTGCTTCTGTCCAGGTTATGCAGCATGTCTGGATGGAGGGAAATTCTCCAACGAAGTGCGATCGATGTCACAGAAGCATCAAGTGCTACCAGGGCCTGACGGGCCTGCACTGTGTCTGGTGCCAGTTGACGGTGAGTCACATTCCCCACATCACCACTAAACCTGCACATCACTTTAACAGAGGTGGACTATGAATACTGCCCCCCAGAGGCAGATGGAAACAACTACAGAAAGTAAGGGAGAAATTTAGAAAAAAGTAAGCATCATTAGAAACTTTAAGGTATGTTCGTAATAACTTAGGAAAACCTGTGTTAAAAATTACATATAATTTCTGATCTATTTTCTGTGTTACAGCCACAAACATCGAGGTATCGGACTAATATTTGAACAAAAAAAAAGATAAGATATGAAAATAATCTAAAAAAGTTAAAAAATAAAGACTTTGATATAAATCCTAGCCCACATTTAGAGTTTCCACTTGCAGAGCAGCAACTCCAGCATCAATCACACTTAGATGATGCAATACTGCTGTAAATCCAAAAGACTTCTGTTCATGAGCTGTTTTAAACTTTGAAGGCTCCAGGCACAATTAGCAGAGTAGTTTCATATCAAAAATGTATTTTCAAACTATGTGTAGTTAATTTAACAAAGTGAAATTATATAAAATAACAAATAAAAAATATTGATGCCATTTTACAAAATGAAAATGTAATAAAAATGTACATGGAGGTTAACTGGGATTATTTGTCATTGCTCATTTTATCCACTAGATGTCAGTGTTGTATTGTGATGATAAGACTGAGCAAACCAAACTCCTGTTCTAGTTTCAGTATCTAGAGACACACAGTGATCTCTATTATCTTCAACCCTGCCTGAGCTTTAGATCAACCGATACTCATTCTGAGACGTGCAGAACTCTGATGCTTCTTCTTCTCCTGTCCGCTGCAGCTCCACAACAAGTGTGCATCACATGTGAAGCCAGAGTGTGATGGAGGAGCCCTGAGGGACCACACTCTGCTGCCTTCATACATCTGTCCAGTTGTCCTGGTGAGAACGCCGCCCTCTGCTGGACATTCAGCGATGGTGCCATCAGTGCAAAGAGACACTGGAAAAAAATCAAAATCTAGACATTTTTTTTCTTACAATAAGCAGAGATGGCAAAAGTACTCACTTTCCGTACTTGAGTAAAAGTACAGATACTTGTGTTAAAAAATACTCTGGTAAAAGTGGAAGTACTGATTAAACTTCTTTACTCAAGTAAAAGTAACAAAGTACAGGCTTGTAAA